GACACATGCACATGCATGTTCATTGCAGCACTGTTCATAACAGCAAAGACGTGGAATCAACCTAAATGCCCATCAATGATAGACTGGATAAACAAAATGTTGTATGTATACATCATAGAATACTATGCAGTCATAAAAAAGAACAAGATCACATCCTTTGCAGGGACATGGGTGGAGCTGCAGAGCATTATCTTTAGCAAACTAACACAAGAACAGAAAACCAAACACCGCATGTTCTCCCTTATAAGTGGGAGCTAATGATGAGAACACATGGACACATAGAGGGGAACAACACACACTGGGGCCTTCGGAGGGTGGAGGGTTGGAGGAGGGAGAAGATCAAGAACAACAACGAATGACTACTAGGCTTAAGACTGGGGTGATGAAATAATCTGTACACCAAACCCCCACAAAACAAGTTTACCTATGTAATAAACCTGTGCTTTTACTCCTAAACTTAAAATAAAAGTTAAAAAAAGCAAAAGAAAAGGTAAACCACATGTGCCCTTAAAAAAAAAGAATTCATGCCTTATGCTTAGTAGAATGTCAGTAAAAAATGGTTGAATAGATGATTTTACATGCACAAACATTTTGACAGCTAAATGGGACTAAAAGTTTGAGTTCTATGGCAGCCAGAAAGCAATTGTAATTTTATCTTGCAACAATAGGAAAAAAGTTCATCTTAAAGTCCAACTAAGATATTGCTACTTTGTTTTATAAGCAGTTAGACATGATAATAATCATTAATCTATAATATTTACTGGGCATCTACTGTGCCCAAGGTACACAGTCTTTATACTTCAGAAGCTTAACAGGTCCTGATAAAAAGACCTTCATACAGACATATCTTTATGACATATACCTATGGCATATATTTATAACATAGATGTAACATAGTTAATAAGAACAATGTTGAAGATATACACAGGTAGAAAAAGGAGGTCCAGTGAATTTAGTCTGTATTAGGGGTTGTTAATGATGAAATAGTAAATACATTTAGCCAAATGGAAGAGGGATAGGAATTCTGCATAGAAGGCACAACATCAAGCTATAGGGGCAAAAAAAATTAGCATTTTTGAAACTACAAAGAGTTTGGTATTTTTGGACATAAAGTCGATGGGAGGAAGGATGAGACTGACCTATAGAAAACACAGAGCAGATGATGGAAACCTCCATACACCAGTTGAGAGTTTGACTGCTTCTTGTGGTCTGTGGGTAGCCATTGAGGGGTCTAAAAAGGGGAGAATCATGATAATTGTAGGTGAAGAGAGATAACCCTGATGGCTATAAGAACGTAGAGAGGGAGACTATTTTGGAAGTTCAGTAATAAGGATGATCACCCCTAAGGCCGTGATCTCCAGTCTCACTGGTCTTGTTGTTCCTCCGACCACCACACCCATCCTGACTTGGTTGTCCTCTTTCTGGGATACTCTTCTCCCGTACATACTAGCTCATACATTCTTTAAGTCATTGCTCAGTTATCACTTTGTCAGTGAGGCCTCCACTGACAAGCCCATTTAAAGCTTGGGGTATTTTTGTTTTTTGTTTATTTTGTATTGAGGCAAGATTTCTCCCTTTAACCCAGGCTGAAGGACAGTGGTGTGATCAAGGCTTATGCCAGCTTCAAACTTCTGAGCTCAAGTGATTCTCCTGTCTCAGCCTCCAAATTACCTGGGGCTACAGGTGCTCACGACCATGCCCAGACTCCATGTAAAGTTTTAACCTCCTCTACATTCCTAATCCTCCTTACCCTGGTCCATGTATCTTACTCCATCCTTGGTACAGCTTCTGATAGCCAATGTACTATAATCATTGCTTATTTTCTGTCTTCCCCAACTAGAATTAAGCTTGAGAAATGCAGGATTTTGCATTGTTTTCTTGGCCAAATCAAACTCAGCCTTAGGAGTGCTAGCATATATCAGGCATTCAGTAAACATGAGCTTAATAAATGAAGATGAAGATGGAAGGTCCAATTTAAGAAACATTGAGACACGGTGAATTATTGCATACGGAGGCTCAGAGCAAGAGCCAAGAATTGCTCCATTTTCCAGCATGGGTGACCAGTGGGTTATTATTTCCCTAATGGAGAAAAAGAATGCTGGAGAAGGAGCAGATATAGAAAGAAGGGGCTAAATTCTGTTTTGAATATGTGGAACTTGTATGCTTGTGGGATGTACTGGTGAGATGTCCCTTTAGAAGCTCAGAGAAGCAGCCAGGATAGAAAAGAAAAGTTTGGAGTCATCAGTTCCCAAGTGATGTGAAGACCCTAAAGTGGAGGAGAGGCCAGGGAGAGTGGTGCCTGAGATGACAGTGTACTAAGGACAGGATTTCAATGAATACCGTGAATAATGACACATGTATGGTACCATGACCTGTCAATAGTTAAGTATATCTTCCTATAAGATGACTTGGGAAGCTAACTTGTGATGATGACGTGACCTGGAGCAATCCCAAGAGGCAAGGGGGTTGGTTGAATTATCACAGTCCTCAGAGCTCCTCAAGCTTCCATTTGTGTGTCACCAATTATGCTGAAGGATCTAAAAAGATATGCTCTCCCCGCTCCTCTTTAGGCCTAGCATGCGCTCAGTGATTTCTGCAGCAAAGTTGCAAACTTTCATACTCTATATTTGTCAGCAGAAATGAGACCCAAATTCCTAGACGCATTTTTAATTAAACTATTTTGAATCTCAGGTAACTGATATTCAATTAGCAGATATCCCTAAAATGACTGGGACACTGGGGCTGTGCAGCAGTGTTCTGGAACATGACTTTGAAAGCTGTGTTGACTGTAGAACTGGCTGCATTCATTTTGGCTGAAGAACTTACCTAGAGTATAGGATTAAAAGGAAAGTGCATTTTTAAAGATATCACGGGATATTTAAAAAATACATACTTTAGGTTCAATATTATTTTGTGACTCACACGTGCCATATTTGTGTGAATATTTGTGTGAAAATGAAGAGGCATTCTGAAATCATTCAATTCTTTTATTCTGCCTGAATTTTTTACTTTAAAAAGAACATTATGACATTCCATTAGTGGTTTTGACAGAGAGATATTGGATTCTCAAAATGAAAGATGTGTGTGAAATATCAGACTTGTGTTATCTTTGAAATAAAGACGGTGGCCCCTCTCACCTGGAAGAGTGCCCCTCAAACGATTAGATTCTGGCAAACAACAGAGAACAAACGTATTTTGATTAAATTATTTTTCTATTCAGTCTGGTGCAGTGTGTAACCTCTGTGGCTCTTTGTTTGATCTTTTCACGGAGGTGAGCGATTCTGAAAAAAGTAGGTTTGATACCAAATATTTTATTTACAAAATGGAGGCCAAGAGAGGAAGTTAAAATCTAGAATGATTTGTGTATTCATGGATATGCAAAGGAAAGCTTGAATTAGTCAGAACTACGTTTAGCGCCAATAAACTACTAATGTCTGCCTTTGAGGACCTGTTTGTTGTTATTGTTGTTTGTTTGTTTGTTTTGAGACAGAGTCTTGCTCTGTCGCCCAGGCTGGAGTGCAGTGGGGCAATCTCGGCTCACTGCAACCCCCACCTCCCAGGTTCAAGTGATTCTCCTGCCTCAGTCTCCCGAGTAGCTGGGACCACAGGCGCCGCCACCAGGCCCAGCAAATTTTTGTATTTTTAGTAGAGACGGGGTTTCACCGTGTTGGCCAGGATGGTCTTGATCCCTTGACCTCGTGATCACCCACCTCGGCCTCCCAAAGTGCTGGGATTACAGGCGTGAGTCACCGCGCCCGACTGAGAACCTGTTTTTAAGAGTAGACCACAGTGGGTGGTTTATAATGAAGGGATCCATGGTAAGAAGCTATCCCGAGAGGGTTCAGATTCCCCAAAGGAGGGGACTGAGTTTCAGGCTCCTGAGCTCCCAGTGGCCGAAGGTTACCGTGTTGGTGACACGTGGGTATGAATGGCCTGTGCAGCCGAGAAAGGTTGAGAAGCCAGTTGGCTACAATTTAAATTGTGATCCATGTAAGTAGAATGATGGGTGCAGTGATGACCACACCTGGAAGAAGCAGTGCTGGGAAAGACAGAGCCAAGAAAAACACTGCAGAAGGCAAGAGACTCATGGGGCACCCAGACCAGCAGCTCACAGCGGTTTGCTCTGCGGGGGAGTCAGCACAGGGCCTGGCCCAACACCACATGTTCACAGGGCATCGAAGGAACTGTCACTGGAATGTGGGCTACTCGCTTGCCGCATGCACAGCCCAAGTCACAAGAGCGAGGTGTGGGTACAAAGCAGGTGAATTTATTCCGAAGCCAGCCTCGGGCGGGGCCCAGCGTCCTGCCTTTAAATCCTGCACTTCCCCTGTGGAGCAGAAAGCGGTCCTTTCAGAAGGTAGTGGAGGAAGAGAGCAAGAGCAGGGTCCCCCTTGCTAGCTTGGTGCCTTATCTACCAGGCAGTGGAGCTGGCGCCTTCCTGGGCAGACATAAGTTGTCAAAGTGGCCAAGTGGACTTGCTTTTCACATGGCCTCTTGGTGGATGAAAGTTCCGAGGCAACCCCTGAAGGTGAGAGTTCCGCAGGGGGTGGGGGGCTTTGGTCAGCAAATCCACCGTCACGTCTCCAGGACAGGTTCCTCTTGGAGCCCACAGTTATACTTGCTCTGCAGGGAATGTCTGGGGAGGGGCCGTGAAAAGTTGTGCTTACATTTCCAAAGGGTTAAGAAACAGGGAAAAGGTGGAAAGGAGAAAAAAGAGAAAACAATGTTTAAAAACTCTCTCTTAGAACAACGTGGGTAGCCGGTTACAGAACCGCCTGCGGGCACGCGTGGGCATTGTGAACACTGGGTCGCCACTTACTTTCTTTTTAAGAACTTCCTGTCATCTTCCCCTCAGCAGCCAGAGCACTGGGGAAACTTCTTACCACCTCACTGCCCAAGAGCCGCACCTCATCCAAACATCAACAAATCCAGCCTCAGTTTTCAGAGGGGCCACCTTAGACTTTCCATGACCACAAGTGAAATAATTAAATGACTAAAAGTTGTACTTGTAAAGGTCACAGCCAGATAATCCTTTATTTGCAGTTAACTAAACAGCATGCTACACAGTTGGATGTAAGGAATGAAGGTGACAAATAGCAATTTTCCATCTGTATTATCTGAGACCACGTTATTGGAAAATGGCTGCTCCTAAAAGTAGAAAAGAAAAGTTCACAAGGGCAATAATGGGAAGTTGGTTTAACGGGATGCTAAGGTCTGCTTGTGCTAAGCAGGAAACAGAGTGAAGCAGTTACTATTTTCTTGCTGAACAAGTGAAAGGGAAAAGAGAAATCCACGTTACAGAGAAGACTGAAACAGAATCCCGTAAAAATGTTTCTCAGCATCATTTCTCAGACCAACCAAATTGTTGTGTTTCTTAAACTGAGAAGTTGAAATACCAGAGAGAGGTCAGAATTCTGCTGAGACGTATTAGAATGGTTGAGGTTTGGCCTATTGGAGTTGCACAAATTCTTCTGCCTAAGACCTCTTATGAATGTTTGTAGGTAATAACAGTCCCTCACCAGAGGATTAGCTTGTCACCTCTGCCTACCGTCAGCAGATGCTTTCCTGATCACACTGTTATTTTAGTCTCAGCCACTTTGCTCTCTCAAGCAGTGGCTTCCAAGGTTTTTGACCACAATCTTCTGAAAGAGGTATACTTTATATCTTGAAACATAAATACAGAAATGTATACTTTCAGTAAAAGAGTCACAAGACAATACTGCTTTGGCAGATACTTTGATATTTCCTTTTCTTTGTTTTCTATTCTATTCTATTTTATTTTATTCTATTCTATTCTATTCTATTCTATTCTATTCTATTCTATTCTATTCTATTCTATTCTATTCTATTTTAATGCTGATCCCAACCTACCAATGTTTGCTCATGGCCAACTTACAGGCTATATGTAATTGCAGTATGAACCTCACTGCTTTAAGTTATTTTTTTTAATTGAAGCAGAATCTACTTATAAGCTTATTTCTTAGAAATGAAACAAAAAAATTAAAAAATTTTATGTAAATTAAATAAGAATATAGAGCAGTGATAGTTTCTGGTGAATCTTAACTAAATGTTAAGCTACAGCTTAATGTTCAATTTATCAACCACCTGATGTATGGCTCACAATGAGATGGATAAATAAGGTCTGTCCAGATTAAAAATTTCTGTTACACTGTATCATTTCAGTCTGTGTTTATTTGTTGGTGTATTTATATACAGAATTAATATTTCTAATTAATTAATAATATCTAATTTCTAATAATTTTCTTATTAATTCTAATTTTACTTTAGGAGACAAGATATATTTTCAAATAAACAAATTCACTCTACATAAATATATCCCCAGATTTATTTCCAAAGAAGTTAATTCTGGAAGGCATTATGGATTTTATCTTTAATGATGGAAACAAATTTTTGTGGAATACCTGTATTTGAGACATAGGAAAACACTTCCTGATAATTTTTAAAAGTATGTTTCAGTTTTTAACACCTACATATTTTTTTTCTATGTGCAAAACGTCTGATGAAGAAATCAAAATAGCTAAATAATCCAGAAATTATGTTCAGTCAATAATGTCAACTTAAGAAAAACTGGGATTTAGGTCTTGTTTTTATAAGTTTGTTTTTCCTTTTAACTGAATGCAAACAATGATTTGGTCAAGTTGCTTGGATTTGATTTATGCTGGAATATCAGAGTCAAAACAAAGCTTGGTCCAAATCACAGAAAGTAGGGTAATTCCCTAGGTGTAACCTGACTGAAAATTTACTCTCCTGTACAGAATAACCATTATGGTTTAGGAGAAATAGAAATTATAGGCTAATGAAGATAGAGACTTGACAATTTACTAAAGAATCCAGGAGTATTTATAGCTTATTTTTTAAACTGATCAAAAATGTGTCAAAATATTACATTCGAAATAAAAGTTTTGATTACATTATTTCATTCACTAGCTTTGAGGCATGGTTAAAGTGAACTAGAGTTCAAAGAAAGGGAAGAAATAAGTTGTTAAAAGAATATAACCAATTTTTGATAAATTAAGTCATAGTTAAAAGAGAAAAAGAATGACAGGTGAAAATAAGATTAAGCTAGAATAGAAGAAAAAAATGAGTGAAGGCCTAACCTCAGTATGTAACTAGAAAGTAAGACTTGAGATTAAATAATTTCATAGGTATGTTCTAGTTCAATTGTACATTTTATGAAATTCTAATTCTAATTTGATGAAAGATAATTCCAGGTAATTTGCATGTTATTATTAGATCACTTTAAGATTTTTCTCCAAATGTGTTATATTAGATATATATATGATATATGTAAATTTATATATATATGTAAATATAGCTCTCTCCTCTGAGATATCTATGATTTTAGTAGGTGTCTGAAGTCACTAGTTGTCTCCATTTTCTCTGCACTTAAAGTGATGCACAGAGTTTAAAAGAGAAGATTGGGTCAGAGCTTGCATCTCTAAAAACAGCTGCCCTTGCCTGGATCATGCTCTTTGAATGTTCTGACCTAAGGCTCAAATCAGATGCATAAGTTATATTGACTCAAGTCAAATATCTCATTTTTGGGTTTAAGTGCATATGTATTTTCAATGGCAAATTAAAGTTTATAAAATGGAATATGATAAAAGATAAATATAAAACCAAAGAGAAATTGATACCTTGATATTTTCAGTGAACTTTAATGGCAAATTAAAGTTTATAAAATGGAATATGATAGGCTGGGCGCGGTGGCTCAAGCCTGTAATCCCAGCACTTTGGGAGGCCGAGACGGGTGGATCACGAGGTCAGGAGATCGAGACCATCCTGGCTAACATGGTGAAACCCCGTCTCTACTAAAAAATACAAAAACCAGCCGGGCGAGGTGGCGGGCGCCTGTAGTCCCAGCTACTCGGGAGGCTGAGGCAGGAGAATGGCGTGAACCCGGGAGGCGGAGCTTACAGTGAGCTGAGATCCGGCCACTGCTCTCCAGCCTGGGCGACAGAGTGAGACTCTGTCTCAAAAAAAAAAAAAAAAAAAAAAAAATTGGAATATGATAAAAGATAAATATAAAACCAAAGAGAAATTGATACCTTGATATTTTCAGTGAACTTTATCAAAATTCAAAATTAAATATTTATTTAATTATATATAATATAGACATATATGAATATATGGAGATATAGATATCCATATACATAACATATATATAATATGGATATATAATATTATTGTAATATATCCATATAATATATAAATAAATATATATATAAATGCAAATAAATATATGGCCTCAGACTTCTAAAGCTGAATATAACAATGGAATTAAAAGTAAAAATGAGATCTTCTGGGCATGTTAGAATTTTGAAGTCTTCGAATGCAGGAAATTTAGCAAGAACTTTAAAACGTTTAAATGGTTTTACCATTGTATTATGTTGGGTTTTATGTTATAGTAATCAAAGTTGTCAGAAAGTCAGAGACTCAGAGAACAGAGCATCAAAAAGCTCACTGACAACCCTAATGCACATACTGTCTCTTCTTTAAAAAATGAATAAAGATGACAATAAACATTTTGCTTTTTTTCTGTAAGATACAGAATAACCTGTCATCTTTTCTCTTATGAATAGAAAATGCATGACATAAAATAGGAAACAAACAATATAGAAATGTAGAAAATGTTTCATAAAATAGAAAACAGAAAATGTGCCATCTCATGTACTAAATCTATCTAATGACATCGCAAAAGAAATAACTTAGTCACTGAGTTTAACATTTTTATGTCTTATCTAATCATAACCATTGACATATGAAATGTGTCAATATATGTGTTTTCTGTCTATCAAAGTGCATGGTCATGGAAAAAAACGTAAACTATTTTTACTAACATTTTTAAAGCAAAGAAGAAAGTCTTATTGTATAATTTATGGTGGATTCTAATTTCATTGCCAAGAATTATATGTTTCTTAGTCATTTTCACTATTTGTAATCGTTTTACTTATTTTTAAAGTTAATAAAGTGGCCAGGCGCGGTGGCTCACGCCTGTAATCCCAGCACTTTGGGAGGCCGAGGCAGGCGGATCACGAGGTCAGGAGATCGAGACCATCCTGGCTAACACGGTGAAACCCCGTCTCTACTGAAAATACAAAAAACTAGCCGGGCGTGGTGGCGGCGCCTGTGGTCCCAGCTCCTCGGGAGGCTGAGGCAGGAGAATGGCGGGAACCCGGGAGGCGGAGCTTGCAGTGAGCCAAGATGGCGCCGCTCACTCCAGCCTGGGCGACTAAGCGAGACTCTGTCTCAAAAAAATAAAAAAATAAAAAATAAAGTTAATAAAGTAATATATGTAATATGTGAAAACATTTTTCATGTAAAATTAAATTTAGAAAGTGTAAAAATTGACGTGTCACTGTTCTCCCTTAATCCACCCTTGCTCCCTCAGTTCTGATTTCCCAGCAGGAATTCCGTAAAATAGAATAGCTTATTAGAATTGTAGTTGATATGAAATTAAGTAAAATATTAATTTGAGCACAACACATCTTTATAATCTTGAACCTTCCTCTATTAGTATAGTTTTAACATAGTTTTATTATTAGTTATTAGTATGTGTTTTCATTTATTCAGATCTTATTTGTCTCTCAATGTGGTTTTATAATTTTCTTGATATAAATTCCAAGAATCTAAAACCGTTGCTTTATCACCTTTTGATGCTTTTGAACTTGTGACCTAGGTGAAATTCATTTTGAACTACAAATAAAGAGATATTTGTTATCAATAATAGTGACTGTCTGAGAGTTCACCCTGTTTGCAAGCTAACAGTTTAGCCTGTTCCATTTTCATGACTGTTTCAAGACAGCAGGAGGTTTTGGGTCAGAGACAAAGAACAGTTTATTGCTCAAATCGTTAGCCGGTCACTTGACTCTAGCTCCCAGAAGCCTAAACACAAGGCATTATGAAGAGAGCCAGGTGACACTTGCCTGCCCAGTAGATTGTGTGACAGCACCAACTAAGCTATGGGAACCTCCCTTTCTCATCCTGGGCATTCAACATTCCTGCTCTGCTTTGGAAGGAGGAGCTCTATTTTTCAAGACTGTAAACAAACCTGCTCTTCTCTTTGTAAGATAATGGGACCTGTATCTTCCAAGGCTCTGTGGTATATGAACATCCTAGAAGAGGTTTTTCAGAATAAAATGCAGTTATGGTCTCACAAGATGTTAAGAAATGGGAGTTGAAGTAAAATTTCCGTGACATATGAAGCGATGATATACTAAAACTTTTAGTTTGTATTTTTCATGTGTGAAAAGTATATTGAATTTTTTTCTTGTTTATAAATAGATTGTTTTCTATGTAAAAGTAAATTTTTGGTTTTGGTCATTGCTAAATACCTAGTACCTGTTGTAATGCTTGACACACAGTAAACACTCAGATAATAAATAATATTTGCTGGATAAATACATGAACTAAACAAGTAATTCATGTTTTTTTTCTTGGTTCCTACTTTTTTCCTGTATATATGTAAAATATATATATATATATGGTATATATATAATATGTATATATATATGGTAAAAAATAATTTCCTTTGAATTATCTATAGATTGTGTGGAAGGAAAGTGCTTTTCAGGAGGACCACTGTGCGAGGTATCTTTCATGCCTTCATTATAAACACATACATATAACTAATATAACTATTTAAAATGTATAAACAGGACAATCAAAACTGGCATGAGGTATTATAGCATCCTTGTAACATCTGTGAATGGAAAGTAAATCTTGGGGCCCCAAATCACTAAGATAAAGGGCAAAGTCAAGCTGGGAACTGCTTAGGGTCAACCTGCCTCCCGTTCTCTTCAAAGTCAGCCCCCTGCTCACTGAGATCAATGCATATACCTGACTGCCTCCTTTGGGGAGGCTCATCAGAAACTCAAAAGAATGCAGCCGTTTGTCTCTCATCTGCCTGTGAGCCAGAAGCCTCTTCCCCACTTGGAGTCCTCCCACCTTGGCTTCTAGTTGTCCTGCCCTTGCAGACCAAACCAGTGCTCATCTCACACATGCTAACTGATGTCTCCTGTCTCCCGAAAATGAATAAACACAATTGTGCTCTGACCCCCTCGGGCACGTGTCGTCAGGACCTCCTGAGGCTGTGTCATGGGCGTGTCCTCAACTTTGGCAAAACAGACTTTCTAAATTCACTGAGACCTGCCTCAGATATTTGGGATTCACACATCTTAATTTCATAGACAGTCCTTAATGAATAAAATGATATTTGTCAAACAAAATAATTATGTTCCCATTGTCTTACCAGAAGTTTTAGATTTTTAACTTTAGGGTAATTTTAAAACACCAGATCATGTAATTCATGGTCTAACCGCCCACACCAGGGTGGTGGTCTATGATACAATTTCACGCAACTACTTCTCACTCCTCGAGTGTGATACGTGTTCTTTCTCTCTGTCCCCTCTGTGTTTTGTCTCGGATCAGTTTCTACACCTCTGCACCTAAGGGTTCATATCTTTATGCAATTTGTTCCTCAAAAAATGTTACATGTTTATTCTTCTAGGAAATCTTCCTTGGATACCCATCAAAATGAGTCAAGGGTCCTTACAGTGAGTTCACCTAGCAATCTATGTATTTGGTAATCATGGAACTCATAATACCAAAATTATTGATGTGTTTGTTTAAATTCTTTCTGGAATATATATCACTTGGTATCGTTAGCGTTTATTTCAATGCTTAGAGCATCAGAAATCGTCAATATAGAAGAAATAAATAACCTCCTGAGTGCTTGGTAATAGCAGTAATATGCATTAACATTTGAGAGCCTCTGTGTGCTTATTCATTGTGGTGCCTCTCCAAGAACTTTTACTTGGATTGGCCTTTGAGAGTTCATAATTGTTTTTTCTTTTTTTTCTTAAGAACCCGATGCTTTAAAAGTAGCTATCAATTACTTACCACTATTGGAATAATTTTAAGTGTAAAATTCCATGAAAGCTGAAAACTGAATAAGAGAGTTGTTTCCCTCAAAGGGGACTGAAGATTAGGGAGTTAGACCTGTACAAGAAAAAAAGACAAGGAAATGGGTGAGAAGTAGAGTAAGGATAGAGAAATTCGTTGAAAGTTTCATTTATATAATAATAAAAAACATGTGTATGATGCCATTAGAATAAGCAGTAAATTCTGTTAAAAAAAGACAACATGAAAATTTTAGCATGATTGGAAATTTTTTCTTTAATTTTTACTTTAAGGTCATGGATTTTCTTCTGACTCTTGACCTGCTAAGAAGAGTTCTGTGTTATTTTATGGCACAAATTACAGCTAATGTATTATCCAAAATACTATTTAATGAGAACCTAAAAGCACTTATAGGAATTTGGGTGAAGAACAAATTTCTTCACACTTTTTATGATTCCTTATCCACACCTCCTCCCCACTAATTCTTCAATCTGGCCAACAGAAATTTGATCAGAGATATGTTTGTTTCACCTTTAAAGTCTTTACAAAGCACTGAATCTAGTCTTAAATACATGCAAGTCGCATCAATTGCTATAGTAGTTATAACGTTGCAGTAACAAATACACTGCAAACCCAGGTTTGGTAACATATCCACTTACACTAACAATGCCCTGATGCACATTCAATAATTTTGTCATTTCAACCTCAATAGGTGCAGAGGAGAGAGAGAGGGAGAGAGAGAAACACTAAATGTGTTTTATAAGCAAAATCAGCTGTCACATCATGATGATTGTTAAAGCAGCCTTCTTCATTGATACAATTGCAAAAAGACTATAATGTCCAGTCAGTTGCATTGGTCTAATCCAGAGTATAAGTGTTTTGCTTCTTGAAATTTGTGTTTATATATAAATTAGGGTTTTTTAGTTAGTATATGTTGAAAATAATTAGTTGCTTACCATAGTACTTTCTCTAACAATCTTCTAATACACAATATCTCTTTTTTCTGTATTAAGCTTATTAAATTTGTGCCCTAGGTACTAAAAAATGTGACCTATATTCCATATAGCAAACCTACACGATGGATATGAATACCCTCTCATCTGCAGATGAGAAAAATGAGGACAGTTCTGTCAAATAACGTCAGTGGACCCATGGTTTCCCAATACTGTGTTGAGTCTGCGTTGTACGCTCTGCATTTTCGGCTCAACACTACCACCTCCTGAAAAGACTTTTAAGTAGAATTTAGAGGAAAACAAATCAAACACATCAGGAAACATCAAAGGAAATACATTTAATAAGATTATATTGAAATCAGTTGGACACACTGTGGAGACTTCCACTTCTGCCCATGAAGAATTAACAGCTACAGAAATTGCTTTCTGAGAGTGAATGACTAGAAACCTGGAAAAAAAGATATGAAGCAACAGTTTTAGATGACAAACAGCACAAGACTAAAACACCTGACAGGGGAAGAAAACAAAAGAGATAAGGTTTGTGTCTGGAGGAATTTTCTATAGCAAAGTGAAGGGAACCTGAACTAAAGCCCAGAAGTGGATTGGACAAGTTCAGTATTTCAGGAGGCTGAGGTTGAAATCCAGAAGTTGAAAAGTAAAGTACTTTGCTAGAAGAAGATACATACAGGGAGAACTTTCCAGAACAGCAGAAGAGACTCTTCCACTGTTGCTTGTTTGTTTTATTGGAAAATAGAGATGAGAGGAAATTCCATGAGACTGGGGAAAGAAAGCAGTAGGCAAAATAATTCTACAGCAACTGCATTAGGAATACTTCATGTCCTATCTGCCAGAATGTAGGAACTTCATAATATATATGGTTAGTGTAGAATCCAGAAAAGACACAAACCGTAGTAGAAGCGTTAAATTAGCTAATTATGCTAAACTAGCACAAGAATACAGATGTTCTAGACCCAACCAAACAAAGCTCAATAGGATAAAGTATGATAAAGCTGACCCATAGGGTTCTTATCTGTGTGACTAAACAAAATCCAAAACTCTTTAAAAAATGTAAAAAATGTAGCACAAATAACATAAAATTCACAATGTCTATCACCCAGTAAAAAATTACCAGGCATGCAAAGTGACAACATTTGGCTCATAACCAGGAGAAAAATAAACCCATAGAAACATATGCAGAAATAACAAAGATGATCAAATTAGTAAAAAAGGATTTCAAAGATTATTATAAATCTTATGATTATGCTCAGTGATGTAAATGAAGATAAACATACTATGGAGAAAAATCAAAGATATAAAAAGACTGAAATGGAACTTCTAGAAATAAAAAGCATATCAAAAATGACAATTACATTGGATTGTAGAAAAAACATCTAAAAGATCAGCAAACTTGAAAGCTGCCAATCAAAATTATTCAAAATGAAGCACAGAGTTCAAAGAAAACCAGGTTCAGCAGAAAAGAACAATCTTTCATTCAGTTTTAAGACGATATTAAGTGGTCTAACACATTTGCAATTGGAGTTCTAATAAATAAGGTCAAGGGAGAAAAATGCTTAAAAATGTACACCCCCAATTTTGCAAATTTATTTGTTTAAATAAAAACAAATTGAGCACATAAACACAAAATATCCGAAAACCAATAACATAGATAATTTTAAAATAAACCAGAAAAAACACATTATATACAGAGTAATAAAAATAAATGTGGCAGAAAATTATTACTAGAAATCACATCAACCAGAAGTAAATTGCATGGCCTCTGTAATGTGCTAAAAAATGTTAGCTATGAATTCTACACTCAGTGAAAATATCTTTCAAAAATGAATGTGAAATAAGATTTTTTCCTGGTCAACAAAAAGAGCTTTATCAACACTTAAGCACTACAAATGATGTCAAATTTGGTTCCTCTCGCAGAAGGAATGATAACAGGTTGACCTTTTTTTTTTGAGACGGTATTTTGCTCTGTCACCCAGGCTGGAGTGCAGTGGCGCGATCTCGGTTCACAGCAACCTTTGCCTCTGGGGTTCAGGTGATTCTCCTGCCTTAGCCTCCCAAGTAGCTGGGACTACAGGCGTGTGCCACCATGGCTGGCTAATTTTTGTATTTTTAGTAGAAACAGGGTTTCACCATGTTGGCCAGGATGATCTCAATCTCCTGATCTCGTGATCTGCCTGCCTCGGTCTTCCAAAGTGCTGGGATTACATACTCGAGCCACCACACCCAGCCTGACATTTTTACCTGTGCAAAGGAATAAAGAGCACCAAAATGGGAAAAGTGTGAGTAAATATAAAAGACCCTGTTCTTCATTTTTAGCCTCTTTAAAAAGAAAATTGAGACTTCTGGTTCTGTATAAGAAGTTTGAAAGTAATGAGGGAGAGGAAAAGGAAAAATCAGTCAGGTAAACAGTTAAGGCTGGTCCTCGGAGAAGCAGCCTGCCTGAAAAATCACAGCTACAGGCAAAAATAGAGCAGTCTGGGGAAAACTTAGGCTGCACCTGCACGGACACCACCACACATGTAGGAAGCTTAAACCTTTTAAGACTGACAAACCCCAAATACCTAAGAGGAAGTAAAACAACTCCCATTCTCAGACATTGGTGAAGAGAATCAGAATCATTCAGCCACTTTGGAAAACAGCACACATCATGCTTTACAGAAAGAAATGGTATAGAAATGAGCAGAGGCACTGGTGTCCCTTTATGACCACTATATTCCAAAGTGCCAATTAGTAAAATTATTCTTTCATTCTACCTAGAAAATCTACTTCTATAATTTAACTTGTAATTCTAATATATGATATCTTTCAGAACACCCCTATGTGAACTTAATTAAATCTTGGTCCAAACATGCTTATTTTTATTTCTTTTTTATTTTATTTATTTTTACTTATTTTCTAATGAGAACCAGGATAATGGGATATTCCTTCTTTTATAAGAATATGAAGTTTACCTTTCATTTAAAACAGTTCTATTGGCACCTTGTCATATAAAATATTACATAGAATTACATATTCTAAGAACAGTTATCTGAGAAATGTGTAATTTTTCTTTAGTTTTTTTATGTTTATTCTACTGTGATGTATGAAGATATATTTCATATGTAATTATGAGATTATAGTTAATTATATTTCCAAAAGTGAAGAAAATTTTGTATTTTTATTTTAAAATAACAATAGAGAAGTATTTAAAATATTATCTTCTTAAATTCCCAATTATGTTTCAAAACATCTTATTTTTATTTCACTTCCGACGTTTGTGTCTTTTTTCCTTACATCCTTCCTTTCCTTCTTTATTTTCTTGTTTGAATTATTTTTAAGTGGTGCCTCAGCCCTTCCTAAGTATATAGAACTTCTAAAATTATAAGCAGGGAATGGTCTTTGGTTCCCAGAAAACTTAGATTAAACAGTTAAACGTTACTCGTTATCATATAAAGTTCCTCAGCATGTCATTTTGTAAAGAGAGCAGACTCAGTATTATAATATAAATCTCACTGATCCTGCATTCTTTACAACGAACAACCAAAGACCCTTTATGAAGTCTGATGTATTTTAAAACATTCAACATAGTTTTATTTCATGTCCTTTCTGTTTTGTAAAGAGGCCTTCATAGTCACATGAGGAGGACTTTGGGGATAATCTACCTGAAATGTACCACCCTGCCCTTTCTGTTCCTCTGCAAGGCAAATCTGAGGAATTTTTTTTATTGTGCATGTTTCCAAGAATTCCTACAAACTGATGTCTTTACTGCCTACAAAGTAGAGGGATTTAAAAACGTCAGATAACTCTCTCTGCACTGATAGGGCCAAATATTTACAATTTTCAGGTTAATTCTCCACTTTTTAACCCAGATAAATAAATTTTGGATTAGATTTTACAAGATGGGTAATTCAGAATAAATTACAGTTGCCTCTATATATAAAAATCAAGCACGGTCACAAAACCATGCTTGCACTCAGTTTTCTCGGAAGAAATCACGTTACTCTTTTCGTTCTTCCTATTTGGTTAATTTTATGAGGAATGAAACCCCATGTTACAAAAAGAATAAAAAGTACTCTTAATTTTTTTTTTAATTTTGCAAATTTATAAATAAATGGGTACAATTTCTTACTAAGTTTCTCATTTTC